CCAATTATTTGTAAATGTATATGATACATACAAGTTGTTCAATGTTTGTTTTCTTTATAATAAACACCAGTATTTTGATTAAGGTTGCAGGCTTTGTTCTGTTCTCAGTTACAACAATGAACACTGAATTTCAATGGATGTAAACCAAGGACATTGTTTGAATTTTTATTCAGTCTCGTTTTTCTAGTTTTAGATAATAGATAAGCTGCTCACCAAGGCAGCCTTAGTGGTATGTACGTAGAGAAAAGGAAAGGTTGCTTATGACGACTCCTGACAGTATTGTTCTTCAGGGCAGGGTGAGAGGAGTTTCATCCCCACCACCCTGCGATATTCTTTGCCTCTGAAAATTGAAAGCCTCTAAGATCTCCATCCTACTCTTTGGTATAGCTGTGGGATTTACTTTTGAGAATGCCCTTTGGTTTACTTTTATTCTAATATTTAAGGAAAAGCTATGGCAAAAAGGTGGGTCTTGACCTGAAAATGGCAAGGTTATATTCTTCCTGATTTTCTTTGAAGCAGTACTTGGCGGCCTGGGGCCTGCTATTGAGAAGTCTTTACTTCAGGCTCTCTTGAGTCTTAACCTAGACTCTGTTAAACATGTGTGCAAAATTCAGCAGTGATGTAAAGAGTGGAGTAAGTTAAAAGTTGGCTGCAAGTTGATTAGCAAATTAAGTAGGTATTAAGATAATGTAACCTGTATTGCTTTGATGATCAATGGACATGCGAAATGAATGTAATGTGCATGCTAAGAGTATGTCACAAAAAAGGCATGAAACAGAAGAGTGTAAGACATAGTAGGATGATGGCCTATATTGGCATCTCTGAAAAATCAGGCCACTTGTTTGTATGCCTAAATATGAATTAAAGTACCTAATATTTGGTATACATGTTTAAAAATATTGGCCTGTATATTTGTAAATAATGGAGACTAAATGGGATGCTGATAATTTAGATTTCACCTATATAAATGAGAGGGAGAGTCTGGCACAGTTACTGTTGCTATGGGTCAGGTCTGGTCACCACTTTCCACTCAGGATAAATGTAAAGAAACCATTGTAATCAGGTGGTTGAAACAGCCTAGCAGTAGCATTCCAAAACACAGGCACATGGAAAAGCTGAGTAAATGCTCAGTCATGTGACCCAAGGGGTTTGGTCTGTTTGTGAGGGCCCAAGGAGAGACAAACAGAGCACACACAGAGAGAGAATGCAAACTGGACACAGCCTGGAAGCACAGAAATGGAACTGTGAGATAAAGCAAAGAGAAAAAGCTTTTTGGGTATATAGTGTTGGCTGGAAAGGCTGCCTTGGTCAGCAAACAAAGGAACTGGTTCCTTCTTTTTGGTTCTTTCTGCATTTGGGAAAACAGGATTTTGTACATTTCTTGTAAATAAACAAGATTTCATCAAAGGTACCAGCCTTCAGCCACAATTTCTCATCCCAACTGGAACAGCCCTCAGGGCCCTGAACTGTGACCAGCTGCTTGGGTCAAAAGGGATAGCAACATATTCTTTGATTGGATACATTCCCTCGATTCTAGATATCTGACCAATTGATTGTTACTAGAAATGTTACATTTTTCTTGAAAAACTCTGAGAGAATATGTCGACATCTCACTGGCCCAGATCCTCAAGTGATGTAAATCGATGGAGCTCTACTAATTTCAGTAGAACTGCATTGAGTCACTCCAGCTGAGGATCTGGTCCATTACTTGTTCATTCACAAAGCAACATGGACACCAGTTAAAATGTTTAAAGCTGTTCTGTCAAAAATATGTCGTTCCTGGACAGGTCAGACAACACAGGTCATTCTTGCTTTTATGCTGCCCCTTCACCTGTTTGTTCTGCCCCCTAAGGTGGTTGTACTACTTTGGAAACACCTGTACAGATGCACAATACATATTTACACACCGACACAGATATAAAACGTAAGGGTATCTTACACCACCAACTACAACAATCTGTAGTTGTCAAGTAAATTGTCTGGGCAAGCCCAGATTGAGAACTAACACTTAAAGAAATACTCTTAGGTACAGTTATTAGAATACACCTACCCATTTCCAAAATTTTCTTTGGGGCAATTATTAGAATATACCTGGTGATTTCCAAATTTCTCTCTTTTTTTAAAAATAATGTGATTAAACATATAACTGGACACAATGACAATGTAAAATTTTGAAGAAAAGCAGGGTAAACAAGAATTGAATGTCTAAACGTAGAAAAAAGTTTTTTTTTTTTTTTTAAATTACAAACTATTAGGCCTTCTTTATACATCATAAAGAAACCAAAATGGACAAAATCCCATTTTACAGGTCACCTTTAACATGTGTCATTTTGCTGTGCAGTTTCTTGGGGAGAAGAAAAGGAATATGCAGAATGCCATCAAGAGCAACCATCCCACTCCAAATCCATAGGCTGCCTGTGCAGAGCCATCCATAGTGTTGGGGGAAAGGGAACATGTCACAGAACTAGGATTCTAGAGGAATCAGAAAGGGGGAGGGAAAGTCATTATGGCTGTAGGTATAGATTGATCATATATGTCCTTTACGGTGAAATATAAGGCCCAAATCCTCTAATTGGATCCACACTGGCAAACATCTGTGTGGATCCATATGGTCTCTATTTGGGATCTGTATGGGTGCAAGGATGATTCTGAACCTAAGATTTCAAGACATGTCTACACTCTTGTCACATTCAGACATGTTTTTATACCATTGGGGCAAAATAAATGTGTCCCTTTAAATAAACAGGTGCTGCCAGTCCTAATTTTAGGGTCCATCTTGCATTCTTTATGCACCCAAAACAGCCAGCCATTTCAAGGAAAGTGGGAAATGTCCCTTTGTCAAACAAAAGAATGACAATTAACACTGTGCTAAAAGAAGAACAGGAGTACTTGTGGCACCTTAGAGACTAACAAATTTATTAGAGCATAAGCTTCCGAAGAAGTGGGCTGTAGTCCA